AGGAATAGATGGGGGTTAGTTACTGGCCTAGGGCACACAATGGGTGAGAGAGGATGCAGTGCATGGAGGAGAGGGGAGACAGAGAGAAGAAAATTTGTAGTCCTTTGAGTTTTGAAGAAAATACAAGAAAAATGCATGTCTCTGAAAGCCACCTCTCCATCACCTAACACCCGGGCACATGCCAGCCCTTTCTCACATGCCTGAGGCAATCCCTGCCCACCTGGCAGCAGCTCCTGCTGCCTGCGATGACTGTGCTCCCTTGGACTAGCACCCAAAGCTCTCCTGGTATTGGTCCTTCTGGACAGCCTAGGGCTGGTTCTTGCACCCTGTCCCAGTGGCAAACCTTATATTCTCCTTCCCTTCCCCATGGGAAAATGGTCTCAGGGCTCAGCAGGTTGGTTTGCCTCCAGTGTGCCTGTGCCAGGCTCCCTTCCCCCCTCTCCCCTCCCTGTGCTCCAGGTGGAGGATGGCTGCAGCATCTCCTTGCCATGGCACATCCTGGGGCACTGCAGCTGTTGGACATGTCTCCATGTGGCTGTTTGTGGCTGCAGGGGCAGACCTGGGGGGCTGCTGGAGCAGGTGCTGTCAGGGTGGCTGGGAGACATGGGCAGGGATATTCAGGGACTCTTGCCAAGGCTGTGCTCTGGCTTGCTACCACGACCATGGTTTGAAGGACTACCCCCTCACATCCTACAGCTGAGGGTCTTGCCTGGCTTCTGCAGCTCAACTTGCTCTGCCATAACCACCCCATTTCCCAGGAGACCAGCTCAGCAGAAATTCATTTTGCCATGAGTCCAGCCAGGTCTTTTTTCTACTTCAGTCTTGTTCAAACTGCCCAAAAGCACCAGGCAGCTGGATTGCCAGGAGGACCAAAAGAAACATCCATCCAGTTCCACCTGGAACACCATAGGAAATCCCTCCTCCACCACCACCCTCTTCCTTCTGCTGACATTAGGACCTTGCATTGGGCTACAAAGACTAGAGACAAGACTGGTGTGTGTTTCCTATGGCAGAGCAGTAGTGCCTAACCCATGTTTCTTACACAGGAGAAAGCCCACCAGTCCCTTGGGAAGGTCCCAGTGCCACCTTGCCCAGTCTCACTGTCCGCCCCATCAGTTCAGCCAGGGACCGTCGTGTCTTTGGGAAGGGCTGTCACTCTTCATAGCACACAGACTGACTGGGCTCTGCTGCATAGTGCTTATCTTTTGGTGTCTGTAGCTGGTGAAGAGGGTTAAGGCATGAATTCTTCCTTGATCGTCAGTGGAGATGAGGAGACAAGGTTGGGGGCATTGCTGCTGCAGAGGCCTCCAATGGGTCCCAGCGTGCTGACAGCCGGTGGGGTTGGCGTGGTGGTGCTGGTGGGCTGGTTTTGCTGCTGCAGTTTCTTCTTGTTCACCTTCCTCTCCTTCGCCCTCCGATTCTGAAACCAGATTTTCACCTGCAGAAAGGCGAAGACGGAGATTTAGAGATGAGGATGGATGCAGCCAAGGATGACAACCCTCAGCCTGGGACAGGGAGCGCATCCCAGAGTTTGGAAAGGGTGGGATTTCTGTGGAGCAAGGTGGAACCTCAGCTGCCTGTTTGGGCTGCAGCCCCTCGCCTTTCTCTCCCCATCCCATCTCCACGCAGGATGTGTTTTTCCCAGGACACTGCAGCACTGACCTGCCGTTCGGTCAGCCCCAGGGCAGCAGCCAGCTCGGCGCGGCGGATGGTAATGTAGCGGCTGTAGTGAAACTCCTTTTCCAGCTCCAGGCGCTGGTGGTCTGTGTACACCACCCGGTACTTGTCTTTCGTCCTGGTCTTGCCTGGAAGAGAGAGCAGAGTGGGGGGTGAGCCAAGTGGGGACAAAGGGGAGCAATGGAGGGGAAGGAGTATCCCCAAGGGCACAGAGGAGATACACAACCACCTGTGGAGAGCTCAGGAGAAGCATGGCAATGTCCTGGGGACAGGTGGGAAAGAGAGTTTTGAGGTTCCTACTGGATTTAATGCCCATCTTGATTAGCACCAGGGTGTTTCTCCCGGTTGGAAAGTACCTGAACTTTGGTGGAATTCCTTGGCAGAAAGAGCAGGAGGGGTTCAGATTGACCATAAATCCCATATATCATGACACATAGTCCCTAAGAGAAGCAAATCTGCAAGTCCTACAGTGGGCTGAGGACAAACTGCCTGGGAGTGATGAGGAAAGCCCAGCTCTTTGCCAGGAAGCCCATAACCAAGGTGCCACCATGAGAAGACACATGGATCAGGACAGGGGATGGGACGACAGCATTTCTCTGCCACACAGAGGGTTATTTTCCTCCTCCCTATACTGAGCTAAGACAGAGAGCATTGCTTTTGGTGCAGTCTAAAGATGCACTGGAGAGAGCCCACATGATGCCTAAGCACTCCTGGGGCCCGGCTCCACAGGCCAGCGGTGTTTGGCCAAAGCCAGCCCAAATCTCTCCTTCATTCCCCCAGATACAGACAAAGCTCAGGGCCATTATAACCCACATCTCTGTGCACACAGATGCACATCCCACGGATCTGCAAACAGCACCTGCTGCTTTCCAGCAGAAAAATACAGTCAAAAATAGCCCACCCATCTCCTCTGTTAGCTCCTTTGTTAATCCACAGACACACAGGGTGAGCTGAGGGGCAGGAGCCGATGGCTGGAACTGCCTGAGTGGAGGACCATGGGGGTATGGGTGGCACTCTGAGGAAAGACACCCATGCCTGATAGTTTGCTAACAGGTTCCTGGTGCTTTCCTCTACAGAAGACCCCAGGGGCAGGAAATAAACACACCTGTGAGTATTTGCTTCTCCACCCAAAATTACAAAATCCTGTTTCAGGGAGTAGAGAGATGGTGCCTGCCCATTTGTTTGCCTGGCAGCCACATTTGCCCATCTTGTCCAGAATTTCTGCTGCTGAGAGCAGTGCTGACATGGGAAGGAGCAGGAGTAAGCCCAGAACAGCTCCATGGATTTCCCTGGGGCTGCTGTGTGTGTACCAGCATGGGCAAAATACTGCCCATCACTGCTGCAGGAGTGCAGGGAGGGATTTCTAGTGACCCAACAACCTGTATAACCTTACTTGCAGCCTGGTTCTTCCAGGAAAGCAGATCTTTGTGTGCCTGCCATCCTGTTCATCCATTCTCCCTAATAAGTCCTTGGCACATCAGCCAGTTTGGGCCAAATCAGATGAATATTGGACAGTCTCAGCAATACTATTAAGTTCTGACCATCCTAGTGGAAGCAGGAGTTTGAGTGGTGCAGAGCACAACTGGGCTCTAGAGACTTTTATTAAACATCAGAGAATCTCCACAGAGCCAAACCCCAACCCCCAGACTGCAAATCTTTTTCACCCAACTCAGTTTTATTTTTAACGGTGTCTCTCTCCTGCTTTCTCTTTGCAAGGAGATGGGGACTTTCCTAATCCACTTCTTATACTGAAACACAAATGTAAAAGAGTGTTGGAGAGAGAAAAACCCATGGCCATAGTATCCAGTGGGCAGGAGAGGACTCCCCTGGGGTCATCTCCCTTAGGATGAAAAAAGGCAGTTGGTTTTCTACTAAATAAACAGGAGTCAGCAAAGGTCCAGCTCCTGCCCTTGACCACTGAACAAACCAGGTATGGAAGCACATGAGCAGGAGCAAGTGGGACCTGGGATGGGCACCAAAGGCATCTTGCCCAGCTGAGGCTTGATGCTGGCACTCCTAGGCACACAAGCAGCAGTGCCACAGCTCAAGTTAGCACCCAATTTCCATGACTATGCCTCTCTTTGTGTCCTCCTGCCACTGCTCGTGGAGGTGCTGGCATGGGCTAGGCACAGCATGAGTGAGGTGATGCCTGAGGGTCCCAGCATGATCCCTAAGAAGCACCAAAACTCTCCAGTGATCTGCAGAGGAGGAAAGGAGCCCAGCAAGACTGCAACATGGCCAGAAATAGAAACCAGAGCTCCAGCACCAGGGCTGGACTTCAGCCACTAACTCATATTTGAGGGATGTGATGAATTCAGTGAGTGTCGAGAGTGCAGAGCCCAACTCATCCCAGAGGTGATCAGAAGTGAACACCCGATCCCTCCTCACCACCACCACCAGGTCAAAACTGCCTCTGGCCACACAGAGTGACTCTGAGGGTTAAAACAGGGTAAAAAAGTTAATTCGATTGAGCAAGATATGTGCGGAATGTCTCCAGAGAGATGGCTAAAATGCAACAATTCAGTGTGCAAGGGGTCTGTGACAGCTTTGCTGGACACTCTTCTCCTATTTGGCACACATATCAGCTATGACAGCTCAAAACAAAACTGCCCATGGGACACACTGCCAGGCCGGAGAGATGCCAGGGGCACCCAGTCCACATGGGACCCACACTCTCCTCACTCTCCCACAGGATCTCTATCCTTCCCAGGGGTTACTGCTGCCTCTCACCACCTGAAAGGAGAAGGGCTCACTGGCATGAAAAGAACTTCTGCACCCCAGCCCAGGAGGGACCTGTGCTGAATTTGCAAACTCAGCAATTCCTGGGGAGTTACAGAATAAACCAGATGCACCAGAAGAGATTTATGTGAGGTTTAGCAGCTCTGTGAGAAACTGGGCTCCCTCTTGGCTGCTCCAGGCTCAGGGACTCCTACAAGTTATTTCTTTCTCATAAAATTACCTCTTTTTTTTTTCATTTGAAAGCAAAAACCTTTCTAAAGAGATAATAGCTTTAAAATTATCTTATTTTCAATATTGCTTTTTGACTAGCTGTACCTAAAAACACCTGGAAAGTGAAGGAATTGACAGATACAGTAAAAAAATGAAAGAATAAAGAA